TGGGATGCTTGCCCTTCTGTGATGATGAGCTGAGGTCCAGAGAGGGACAGCAACTGACCCAAAGTCTCCAAAGCCACAGTTATACTCTGAATCTTGAAAATGACATTCAATTATCCTCTCCAGTGTTGTGTCTCTGGTTGTCCCTTCTGTGATGGAAACTGTGACCTGAAGGTCACAACTTGATAAGACAGCCAGGGAAGTAGCAGCTGTCTTAGCAAGCGAAGGAGGGGGGTGGAGGAGACAGAGAGGCAAGAGACGTGGGCTCTTTTGGTTACTAGCTCTGAGGTCAGATGCCTCCGAGAAAGTGGAGTAGCTACAGGAAGACAGGGAGCAATCCATCTGCATCCCATCTCCTCTTCCACTCAGGTCCCGTCACGAATTCCTGTCTATTTCCTCATGTGCCTAATGTCCAGAGCTATGGGTGCTCATCCTATTTTGATTCCTATAGCCGAGATAAATATCATGACCAATAAGCCACTTGTGAGGACAGGGTTTATTTCCCTTGCACATCCCTTTCACAGTTGACCATTGAGAGAAGTCAGGGCAGGGACTCAAGCAGGACCAGAGGCAGGAAGCATAGAAGGAAGCTGCTCACAGCTCCCCATGGCTTGCTCAGCTTACTTTCTTATAAGGCCTGCCCCTGCCTAGGTGTGGCCCCACCCACAGTGGGCTGGACCCTCCCACATCAAAAAAATATCCCATAGATACGATCACAGGCTAATCTGAGGGAGGCAATTTCTCAATGGAGACCTCTCTTCCCAACTATAGTGTGTGTAGAATGGACAAAAACTAAGCCACCCGATGTTCCTGAGGGGATGGGGGAGGAAGTCCTCAAGAGAGATGAGGCTGGCACATATGGGCTCTGTCCCCTGCCTCAGTCCTCGGCAAAGCAGTCCTTGGCATTGCAGATTCAGCTCATTACGAGATCCTAGAAGAAGACAGAGACAGTATTGATGGTCTCCTGGGGTCCCAGGGGTGGCTCTTGTTCCCCAAGAGCCCAGGCCTGGGAGAAGAAGGTGCCCTGTGGCATGCCAGTAAAGATGAAGATATTCCAAATCTGTGGCAGGCCCAGGTGTACCCCAGAAGCCATTAGGGTAGGGCTGGGGTGAGAGAGGATGAGCAGAAAATCCATGATGTTAGGGGGAGGAGCTCCTTGTTCCCACAGTCTGTCTCTCCTTGTGACTCCCGGTCGGTCAATCTTTCCGAGCTGTGGGGTCATCTACACGGAGGCTGAGGAGGGTGCTGTCCTTGCTCCCTCACTGACCTAGTCCTCCTGAACTCTGAAGAGCATTCCCCTCTCCCCTCGTCACAGCTTTGGGACCCTTTGTTTATTTAATGATGGTTTTTCTAGAACTTGGGTGACACCTGGTGGACACTATGGCTTACATCCGGTTCTACTCACCACTTCTCTGGGCTTCTCTGCGGTAGAACCACAATGGAGTCCCTAACCCATAGACAGATTTCACCCCAGGCAGTCAATGTGGAGCAAAAGCACACATCTCAACCACCTAGTCATGGCCACCAACGCTACCTCTCACAAACGCCTGACCAACAGGCAAAGACTATGGCCCAGGTACAACCAGCTCAGCCACTGGCTGGCCCACATGGCCCTGTAAAAATCACATTACCCCTCTGCACTTCCTGGCTGCCGAGTGCACAGCAGGGGGTGACTGAGGTCAAGAACATGCATGCCCTAGAACAGTCTGACATGGAGGAGCTGGTGCTGGGTGCTCTGGCTACTATGTTGACCACAAGGTCCCCAAATCAACAACGAAGTCCTGTGTCCCCACACAAGGTGGGTGGGGGGGGTGAGGGGAGTTGGGGGGTGGTGGTGGAGGGAGCTGGAGGGGAGGGAGAGGGGAGGCAGCCACAGGTCCCTTTCCCATGCCTGGGCCTGGGCTGGGCTGGAACACAGCCAGTTACTCAGGCCAGCCTGGACTGTGAAGACAGCCCATCCCCTCCAGGGGCTGCCGAAGCAATGCCAGCTACCACCTCCCCAGTTGTGGCGTCCTGACAAGCAGCTGATGCCACCAACTGTGGTGATATATTATTTATGATTTACTAAAGCTTGCCTGAGGTTTCAGGAAGCAAAGTCAGCCATAAGCCTTAGAAGCCAGGCACACACCTTTAATCCCAGCAGCCAGAAGCTAGGAGGTGGTGGTACACACCTTTAATCCTAGGACTCCAGATTAAGAGATAAATAGATCTCAGTGAGCCCAAAGGCCACCCAGATCTACACAAGAGTGAATCAGTCTAAAAGAGAATTATAGCTCACACCTTTAATCCCAACATTAGGGACGTATATGAGACAGAAGCAAGGGCTCAGGCATTGGTTCTCCAGCCACACTGAAGAGGCAGCAGTCTGAGACTTGAAGAGCTCGTGTACAGATCAGCCCTTTCAGTCTGAGTTAGAGGTAAGAAGCAGCTAGTGGCTGGCTGCTTTGCTTCTCTGATATTAGCTTGAAGTTTGAACCCCAATATTAGTCTCTGGGTCATCTATTAATCGTGTTGCAGGTTCCAGATTCAGATAGTTGATAAAGAGGTAAACAGCATGGCAGGCAATTTCTTAGTTGAGGCTCCCTGTCCCAACCGCAGTATGTGTAGCCTTCCATCCAGAAGATGAGGCTGGCCGTCCAGTAGACACAACCTTTCATTTTCACCAGTCATGGGGGTGAATAATGGATTCCTAGGATCTCTCTGGTGATCAGTAAGACCATGCATGACAGTCACGCAGCAAGTGCTCTTCACCGCCACACCATCTCTCAGCCCCTCCCTCCACATGCCCTCTTCCCTGCACCCTACTTTACACATGCTAGCAAGGGGGGCAGGATGGTTGCTCTCGAGTAGAGAGTAGGGGGCAAAGACTATAAACATGGATGGGCATGGTGTGCTGGGTGAGGGAGAAAACACTGGATGGGACGGGGTAGCATAGATAGGTAGCATGTTACAGACATGGGCTGACGGGGAGCAGGAAGGGAAGGGTGGCCCAGGCATCCTGTTGACAAGTCACTATGTGAGAAGATGTGAACAGGCCCCCCGCAAAGGTCACCACTGCACAAAGCAAGAGGCTGAGTCTAGATTCTTCCTCTTGTATTTTATTTGCCTGTAATCATTTCACCGAAGTATTTTATAAATCCAGAATCAAGGTGTGCTGGCAAGGCCGTGCCAGCAGCTTGAAGGTGGGATGTGGGATTTGAGAGGAATCTGATGGCTACACAATCCTCTGTCTACCTGGGGGACGGACTCCACACACCACACACCACACTTGGCCATCTTCTCCTACAGCCCACCCCTGCTCCTGCATTCTTCGAAGGAGCCTTCTTCTCAGACAGTGGACTTTGCTCCCCAAGCAGACACCCATCTCAGCACCTCCCAAGCTATTTGGTCCTTGTGTCCTTCCTTCTTCCCCAGACTGCCAGCTCCATGGAGTAGAATTTCTACTTCTCTACCCTCCTCACAGGCCTGTTGTAAGGACAGATGAATGACTGTCCTTCCGAGAGAGTGGTTATTTCTGCAAGCACCAACAACATCCTTTTACAGCCCCAACACTTCCTGCTTTGATTCTGGGCACAACACTAACTGGGACACACACACCATCCATAACTTAGCCCATCCACTTTCACTCCAGAAGCCCGCCCCAGAGGCAGAGGAGAGCTGGATCTCACATAGCAACCTGGTCATGGAGGCTGATGAACCCGGTAGTATTGGTGAATAAAGACCAGCATCGGCAGCTAGGCAGAGCTGTGTAACCAGCCAGCCCGCTGCATCATGACAATGTAGCTTCCTGTATGAGGCTCATGACTCTGCAAGTTACAGTTCAGCCTGGGCTCAGCTCGGCTCCTCAATGCTCTTGAAGCCTCTGCTGAGCCCAGTGATCTGGGGTTGCTGATGCCGACCCAGCAAGCTCTCATCATCCAGGAGGTTGAGCCCATGCTTCCTCCCGGTGGGTGCAGGTGTCTTTACAGTAGAGCTGCCCTGGACCTCAGAGGCTGAGGCCTGAACTTACAACCTTCACTTTGGCTACATTACCAAGCAGAGTCCCAGATTCAGGGGATGGAAAGGAGACTCTGCCCTTGACAGATATGCTAGGGCATGAAAGGCAAGTGCCACCAAGCAGGGAGGCAAGCATGGTCACAGCTGTGCTCAAGAGCTACCATTCCAGGCTAGCACTATGAAAATGAGTCGGCTCCAATTAGACATTCCCTGTTTGCTGTTTACTAGATTTAAGTCTTATAAGACCAGAGGCTTCTAAGTGGGGGGGGGGGGATTTAGGGTGCCTTGGATCCACTGTCCCACACCATCTCTCCATTTCTTCATGTCATCTGTGCCATGACATCCTTGGGACAGTGGTGAGCACCATCATCATAATGGCACCTGGCTTTCTGAGACAGCAGACCAGTCTGCTTCCTGCCAGCAGGTTTACAGATGACGGACCTGGAGCAAACAAGGACAAGGCCCCAGGTGAGGCTCTTGGGGCTGTATTTTCTAAGATACCTGTTTGTTCCCAGCCAGCTCTGGGTAGAGGACCTGGTTCCCCGGTCAGACATGTGGCCTGACTTGGGCTGGGGATGTAGGAGAGTTTAGGTTAGATCTTGGTTCCCCCTCCCTTCCCGGGAAAAGGGTTTGGGTCTCAGGTAGCCCAGGCTAGCCTTGAGCTTGCCATGTCATGGAGGGTGTCCCTGAATCCCTGCCTCTCCTGCCTCCACCTCCCAAATGCTGGAATTAATAGGTGCCTCCATCCGGTCTCATTTTCTTGATTCCTAGCACTTAACTCAGCTGGAACGCCTCCCTCGATTGCCAGACATGGTTGCTCTGTTTCTAGAGCAGGGATTCTCCATCTCTTACTTCCAGTCCCCCGTGTTGAGGGAGAAGACACTCTCTAGACAGCAATGCCGAGCTGCAGGAGCCTGGGGACTGTCAGAGATGGTCCGAGACAGCTTTCCAGAAGGGCCACCACTACAGCAGGTGCCATGTGACAGAGGGATGGTGGCCTGGCTTCGCTAGCATCGGAGTTTGCGTCTGCCACACTGGGGCCTATTGAGGAAGACCTGCTTGAAGGTTTTCTCGTAGCTGTGCAGGTTCTTCCTGAAGCAGTACACAGACTGCTTGTCACACTCACAGGCCTTCTGCCCGCAGAGGCAGCTGCCACTCAGGGCACATCCACCTGAGGAAACACACAGAGTCACTGGGAGCTCACTGCCCACTTTAAAGCTGGGTTCATAGGAAGGAAAAGGCTGGGGGTATAGAGGGAGCTCCAGGGGTCAAGGACAGAGGGCAAGAAGTGGGAATGCTTTTTCTTTGTTCACAGCCCTTCCCCAGTCACATTCAGGGCCTTCCATGTCACAAGGAACAGATAGATGCCTAGAAGGTGAATGGCCCCGGGAGGATGGGCCACATGTGGGGAATGCTGAGTCATTGCACCCAGGCAGCACACGGCCCAAGGCAACAGGAAGGACTCATCCCCCCTCCCCAGGGGCCATTTCCTATTCCAGACACCAGCTTGACCTGCCAGGTGCTGTCTCAAGCATCTCCAACTGCAGATGTTCAAAGCCACACTGCACATATATATGTGCCATGGCCATTGAGCCTATCACCTCTCCACCCTTAGGAATGCCACCCCCGACCCCAGCAGCTCACTAGGAACCCTTCCCTCCTTCCACTTCCTGTTTCCCATCTGCTGGTAAGTCCCATGGATGGCCCCCTACATGCTCTGCCCTCTTTTGTCCACCATCGCTGCCACTACCCACATTCCTGTCCCTCTCCACATTCTGTCACCGCCAGTTCTTCCTCCTTAATGGGAGGAAGCAAACAGGCAGTCTCGAAATGTCACTTGGATCACAGCCACTCTCCTATTTAAAGCCACGCTCTGGTTTCCCAGCCTCTGTGGAAGAGGTGATCATCCTTTTGTGGCAGTCCCCAGCCCACCTGCCACACCACAGCTTGACTGTCCCAGCCTCCTCCTTCCTTGTGGACCTGCCACCCTCTCATGCCCAGTCTGCTGCGGACAGGACACAGGGGCCTCCTTGGGTTCAGGAGTCACATCCTGCCTTGTCCCAGGACCTTTGCACTTGCTGTTCGCCTGGTCTCATCTCTTCCAATGGTGAGCCCCACAGGCCATTTGGGTCTTAGTGGAATCCAGCTTCTTCAGACAGGCTTACCCAAGCTACCTGGTCTAACGCTCTCCCAGCCACTCCCTCCCAGGTCCCCTTGCTGGTTTCATTTGCATACTGGCTTGCTGTGCCCTCCTCTGCCCCGAAGAGTGAGGCTCCATGAGCTGGGACACTGGTGTATCACAGTCTCCCACTTGCAGAGCAGAGGGCAGTCTATGGGAGCTCTTCCGGGTACTGCTGCTGCAAAGCCAGTGAAGCTCCAAGGACTTTGGGATGTGGTGTCTACCCTCGAGCTGAAGGGCAAGTGGACTGAGGCCTTTTGTTAGTCGTCACAGCCCTGATGCTTTGTGTGTGTGCTCACACATGTGCATGCATGAGGGCATGCTGGGGTCATCGAAGACATGACACCTCATGTCTACAGAACTGCACCCAGATCTGCTCTCTGTGTGAGGAAGGAGGCTGCCAGACCCTGGGGCTTGTCTTCTGCAGCTTGTTAATCTGGATGTCTCCCTGGATAAAATGATGCTGACCGTGGTCAAAGATGAGCAGCAGAGTAAGGCCCCTGCTAAGATGCTGGTCACAGGTGGATTATGTGTTGTGGACCTGCTGCTCCGGCAGGGGCACCCTTGGCTCCACATATACAGAGAAGCAAATCCCTGTCTGCTGGAAGTACAGGCTGTTTCTCTGCGGTCTTCCCTCTCCAGCGCCCACATTCCCACTGGAGCTGTCCACCCAGGCCTGTCTGGAGACTTGATTATCTCAGGGCAGACACTGCCACCACACGCCTCCGCTATCCTTGAGCACACACCCTCAGGAAGGCGCCAAGAACATTCATGCCGCTCCCGCTCTTCCTCGCCCCTGTACCCTTTGGCCTTCTCACATCCCCGTCTCCATCTGTGAAGGTCTGCCCAGATCCATCAAGTCCCAGTCTCCTCGGGGCTCTTCCTGGGGCTCTTCTCCATCTCGGCGCCATGCATGTACCTCTTCCTCCCTGTCCACAGCAAGTCTCTGTGTCTCCATAACAGCAGCTGTTGCCAACGTCACAGGGGGTGTGGGCTGCTGACCTAACGGACTGCTCTCCTCGGGCAACCTGGTGCTGCCACCCAGGAAATCTGAGCCCTGTTATCCCCTCTGTCCTCCTCCACCTTCCTTCCTGTCCCTCCTTCTCCCTTCTGTTTATCTCTTGCTCTTACTTTTTCCTCACTACCCAACTTTCTAGACTCTTCTCAGGCTATGTACATGAGTGTTTTTGTCTGCATGTACACATGCACACCAGGTGCATGCCTGGTGCCCACAGTGGTCAGAAGAGGACATCGGATCTCCTGGAACTAGTACCTATGGTTGTGGCTGCCTCGTGCTTTCAGGGAAACTGACTTCAGGTCTTCTGACAAAGCAGCAAGTGTTCTTAACCACTGAGCCATCTCCCCAACCACTTTTATATTTTCCTCCTTGAGGCACAGTCTCATGTAGGGCAGGCTGACCTTAAATCACTCCCAAGGTCACTCAAAGATGATACTGAACTCCTAATCCCCCTGGGTCCATCTTCCGTGTTGTTTAATGAGTGCTGGGATCGAACCTAGGGCTTCATGCAAGCTAGGCAAGCACACTCCCAAATGAGTTACACCTCCAATTCTCCATGAATCCTTTCTACTGTGTGGTTAAATCCCCTCCCTGAAGTGTAAATTCACCTCTCATGCCTCTTCCAGTCCCTAGATCTTCAGGACTGGTCTTGGACAGTGGTTTTCCACCAAGGATGGTCATTTTGGCAGCATCCCTCAGTTATGGTAAGATTGGGTTTGCCATGACCTGGGAGAAAATGCAACCCTCAGCCAAAAATAAAAAAATGCCATCTTTAAAAGTCACCATCTCAAAACATTGGACTCCAGACCCTGTATCTTCCGATATGTCAAAAGAGAAACTGAGGCACAAGGAAAAGAAATGACAGCTTAGAAACTTCTTTCTCATCCTGAAAACTCCATCTCCACAAATGAGACAAGGTGACAGGCACAGACTCCTGCCTGTGGCTAACCCAAGGCCTCACGCAGCCTCTGTCTGGACTGCAGCTTTATTCCAGATTATCTTCATAGAGTTCTCAGCTCCAGCCCAGACCTCTCCCTTGAGCTCCAGACAGCAACACAAGTATCTGTTTTGCTGCTACATATCATGTATTAGTCGATTTTCTGTTGAAATACAGAATTGTGTAATTTGCAAATAAAGTGGCTTGTCTGGCTCACAATTTGGGGAGCTACAAGTCCAGACAGCATGGCGTCGGCTCTTGCAGGAATCCCTTAGGCACAGCAGAGCATGATATTCAACAACATGGCGAGCGAGTGTGCGCGCAAGAGGGAGGAGTCACATGGGACAACAGGAAGCCAGAGAGACTGGGGAAGGGCCAGCCTCGCTTGCTTGCCGTTATAGAACAAGTTCCTCCATTGCGAATTAATCAATGTCCCAGGAAAACTATATTATTCTCTTCTGAGGGACCAGCTTCAGTGTTCTAACAGTCTCTAGGCCCCATCTCTTAAAGGCCCCACCATGTCTTGTGGGTTTGTGTGTATGTATATATGTGTTCGTGAGTAGTATGTACACATGTGCAAACTGACTCACCGGCATGTGTGTGCATGCATGTGGAGGCCAGAGATTAATGCTGGTTATATTCCTTGATTCCTCTCCGCCTTAATTTTTAAATTTACTGTTTGTGTATATGTGTATGTAGTGTACATACATGTATGTGTTCATATACGTGTGAACACATGAACATGCATGCTTGGGTGCACGTGCATGTATGTGCATGTGTGTAGAGGCCCAAGATTGATGGTAGGAGTCTTCCTCAGTCATTTTCCACCTTATTCATGGAGGCAGGGTCTCTCACCCAGTGCTCGCCACTAGACCCAGTTCCTCAGCAATCGTGGTGGTTTGGAGGAAAATGACTCCAAATGAAGTGGCACTATTGGGAGGTGTGGCATTGTTGGAGAAAGTGTGTCACTGTGGACGCAGGCTTCGAGGTCTCATATATACCAAAGCCACATCCAGTGAGACCACTTCCTGTTGCCTGCAAGTCAAGATGTAGAACACTCAGCTACTTGTCCAGCATCAGGTCTGCCTGCACGCCACCATGTCACACCATGATGATACTAGACTAAACCTCTGAAAACATTAAGCCACCCAAATTAAATGTTTCTCCTTTCTAAGAGTTGCCATGGTCATGGTGTCTCTTCACAGAAGTAGAACCCCTAAGATAGACCAATATAGATTAGCTTTGTTAGTCAGCTTGCTCTATGGATCTGTGCCTTCCAAGTTTTAGAGTCACAGGAAGACTGCCATGCCCACCTAGCATCTATGTGAGTTCTTAGGATCCAAAATTGGACCCTCACATTTGCATGATGGGATCTTTTAACTATTGAATCATCTTCCCAACCTACCCACCTTAGTTTTGAGACAGGATCTCCCACTGAATCTAGAGCTGCACAATTAGCTAGGATGGCTGACCATTGAGTTCCAGGGGTCCACTTGTCTCCACTCCCTTGTGCCCCAAGCTGGGTTGTAGATGGATACTGTTATGCCCCAGATTCCACCCAGGATTGGAGATTGGGGGATTGGGACTCAGTTCTGTAGAGCAGAGGATTTACCAGCTGAGCCATCTCCCCAGTCCTGGTCCCCTGCTTCTTAACATTATTAGCTGGATAAGCCATCCCCCCCCCCAAACTCGCTGGGAACACACTTAAAACACATCCAAGCTACAGCACATCTTAAACCCCACGCAATTCATACCAATGCGCTCCATGGTCCAGTCTACTTCATTTTCCCAAGCTCGGTGGTTGGTGCTGCTGAGGCCAGGAGCTGCCATTCAGTCTCCCTCTCCTTCAACCCCACATCTAATCCACCTGTAGGTCCTGGTACCTCAACATCCAAAGCAGACCCAGCCTGACACTTCCCATCATCCCTTCTGTCACCATCCTGGCTCAGACAATGGTTATTTTCCCATGGGTTCCAGAACCAGCATTCTAAAGAACGATTCTCCTTCCTCCTCTGTCTATTACAGCAGTGCCTTCCC